CCAGGTGCTCCAGCCCCAATGTCCAGCCTGGCCTTGGGCACTGCCAGGGATCCAGGGCAGCCACAGCTGCTCTGGGCACCCTGTGCCAGGGTCTGCCCACTCTCACAGGGAGGAATTCCTTCCTAAAATCCATCTAAACCCAGTCTGTGTGAAACCATTCCCTGTGCCCTGTCACTCCATCCCTTGTCAAGAGTCTCTCTCCACTTTCCCTGTTGGCTCCACTCAGGCAGCCCCAGTCAGCTCATCTTGAAACCTTAATTTTTTCCAAGCTGGGCAGTCCCAATGTGCCAAAAACTGAAAACAGATTTTGGGGCTTGGTGAGTGAGTGATGGAGAGGTGACAACCCCTGCCCCACACAAGGCAGCAATGGGAATGATCCCTGGGGCACCAGCAAAGGGAAATATGGAATTATACATTTCCTTCACAAATGTCAAGGAAAAAGCCCTCACCACATTTCCCAGCTGGGCAGAGTGGTAAGGAAGTCCAGGTTTAGAGCTGGTAGAAATAAAAATGGAGTTTGACCCCTCTGGTGTGTCAGTGGGGGCTGCTCAGCCAGACCCACCCTGAACTCCTTGGAGCTTTCACATCCTGGAAGGTGATGGGGAAAATCCTGCGTGTGCTCCACTGCCAAGGGCAAAAGCAAAGCCCCTGTGGGAGCCTCACCACCGTGGGACATTTCACAGGTTCCAACTTTGCCATTCAGGGCTTTCTAGGTGGAGAAAATGTCATGGTTTATGGAGGCAAACTTAAGGAAGGGCAAGTTTAAAATAAAGTCTTCCAGGCTTGTGAGACAAAATTGTCTCACAGAAAATGGTAATGTCTCTCTGCTCCCCCTGCTTTTTCCTGGCAAGATGATGAAATGCAGTAAATAAATACATAAAAATAATGAGTCTTCCAGACCTTGCAGCATTCATTTTAATAGATGCTATTTAACTACACACAGAATCACAGGTATCTACCTTTCAAACGCTGGTTACAAAGATTGGGAAGGCTGCCAAGAAAATGGCTTTTATTTCCCCCCAATAGATATCAAAAAGAAACAATTTATATGTTGAAATTGCCTTTATTTTTTAATCCATAAATAGTTGTTACTGACAAAAGTGGAAAAATCCTTAAGACTCTAAATTTTACTAAACTGATAATATTTTTGTTTACAGTACATACAGAATGTGCTTTTACAGGTAAGTATAACAACAAGAATAATACAGAGAAAAACAGTCAAATACTGCTCATCTTGAAGCTTGTTTAATGGTTAACCAAGAGTCTGTGCAAAGTTACAGATACAAATGTACTTCCTCTTCAGTACTACTGTATAATAAACATGGAATCCATAAACTGGGCTAAAGCACAAAAATATCCACTTAACCCCTCTTAGGAAATATTGTCCCCCGAACTAAAAATGTTACAGTAAGAAGTGTCGTTCTCAGAGCCAAGAAATTCTTGCTACAAAAATGTCTCAGGGGTTTGAGGGTGGCGGAGCAGAGGGTGAGGGGGAGAGGCTCCTCCTGGCAACAGGGTCAGATGGAGAGATCCAGGGGTGGGGAGAGACCTCCTGGGATGAGGAGAGACCTCCCAGGGTGGGATGGAGAGCTCCAGGGGTGGGAGAGTCCTCCAGGGATGGAGAGAGACCTTGTGGGATGGGGAGAGATGTTCAGGGGTGGGATGGAGACCTCCTGGGATGGGAGAGACATCCAGAGATGGGGAGATATCTCCAGGGATGGGGAGAGACTTCCTGGGATGGGGAGAGACCTTCTGGGTTGGGGAGAGACCTTCTGGGGCGGGGAGAGACCTTCTGGGGTGGGGAGAGACATCCAGGGACAGAGAAAGATCTCCAGGGAGAGAGGGAGACCTCCAGGGATGGGAGAGACCTCCCAGGATGGAGACAGACCTGTAGGAATGGGGAGAGACCTCCTGGGATGGGGAGAGACCTCCTGGGACAGAGAGACACCTCCCAGAATGGGAGAGACCTCCAGGGATGGAGAGAGACTTCCAGGGATGGGGAAAGACTTTCCAGGATGGGGAGAGACCTCCAGGGACACAGAGAGACCTCCTGGGACAGAGAGAGACCTCCAGGGAAGGAGACCTCTTTGGATGGAGACCTTCTGGCAATGGAGAGAGATCTCCTGGGATGGAGACCTTCAGGAATGGAGGTCTCTTGGCATGGAGAGAGACCTCCTGGCATGGAGATTCCTGGGATGGAGAAAGACCTCCCAGGATGGAGAGAGACCTTCTAGGATGGAGACCTCTCAGGATGGAGACCTCCTGGCATGGAGACCTCCCGGACATGGTGTGGCCACGGTGGAGAGCTGGGGTGTGGGAGCAGAGATCTCTCTCAGATTAACACTGACACACTCAGACAGCCCCATCCAGCTCTCCCCTGGCCTTGGGTGAAGCACATTTGGCTTGTCCCAGCTGGGATTTGGGCTCAGGAGGGCACCTCTCACCATGGAGAGCTGGGAATGATCCCTGCTCCCACCTGCCTGTGGACACACAGCACAGGAGTGGCTGTTCCCCAAGGAGCAGCCCCAACGTGGGCTTATTGCTAACAACACTCACTAGAAAATATTTAAGCCCCTTTCTCACACCTTTCCCATCTTTCACTCATCTGAAACACACCTGAACACCAAATCTGTTCATGCCAAAGGTGTTTCAGCAGAGCCCCTCCTTCCAGGTTAAGCAGTAAATCTGAAACTAAACTAAGACAAGCTATTTCTCCATGAGCTGAACATGGCAAATTGATCACAAATAGAACACACATCTCAAACACAATTAAAGTTATCCTGTTCCATGGAGATTTTGTTTGTGGTGGTGGAAGAAGATGAGGATGTCTTCCCAGCTACCAGGAGCTACATAAACCTGATGCCAAGCTCCTGCAGATTCCTGGTGGGAATGCTTCTGACAGAACAGAAATGTGCATGTGGGAAGCTCAGGTTCCTGGGAGCAGCTTTGCAGCCAGCCATGCTCAGCAGACAGAAATTAAATCCAGGCCAGGGAAGGAGGGCTTACTCCCAGACAACTGTCTCTGTTTCTTCCCACCCACCCCCATCCCCAAGTAACAGATCATCATTTATAAAAGGAACATTAAAACATTGAAAAATATTTCTTTTCTTTTTTTTTTTTTTCCTTAAAACACGATTCAGTGGCATTAGAAGGCTTTTTATGACAAAGTTTCTGTTCCGTGTGGTGCTGTGTGTGGTTCATTAAAAATAGTTTTCCACATTTCAAAGAATGATTCAACAAGGTTTGGAAGCTTCAGTTGGTATAGGGTCAGTCAGAACGTGTTGATTGCATTTTACAGTATGTATGTATATATATATATATATTTGTATTTATATACACATACACAGAGAATTGTATAAAACCCAGTGCAGCCATCCAGGACATGTTGCTGCTCAGGGAATGCAAATAATTATCAGCTTGTAGGAAATACTATAAATTTTCTACATCCCCCTTCCCCAGTCCCTGCACATGCACTCTGGGAGCTGGACACTCCCCAGGTGTTTGCTTGCACCTGCGGGTGGAGAAAATACAGATAAATTCTTCAGAGTATATGAGATTAATCAAGGCAGGTTATATCTCACTGTACAGAGGAATGTGGCTGCTTCCCGCTTTTCTCCTGAGTGCAGGGTGTTGTGGTGACTCAGACACGAGGAGAAGGAAGCAGGAGGGTCCCAGGGCAGGGAGCAGCATCCCTTGGAGCTGCAGCCTGCCAGGACCCTGCCTAGCAGAGAGCAGTGGGAACCTGGGCAACCCCAGCCCAGCACTCTCCTCCTGGGCAGAGAGGATGTGGCACATCACACACCACGTGTCAGGACAATGACAAACAAGAGTAACAAAAACACTTTGCTGCTCTACAGTTTCTGTTGTGAGAAGGTCTCAGAGCACTTCACAGACCTTGTGGTCTGAGCCCTCCACAGGACTGGAAATTCCCATTATCATCACATGGGAATGAAGTGCTGGGGACCAGGCTGTGGGTGATGACACTCGGTCCCAGACCAAGTGTTCTTTCAGTGAAAAATTCTCAGAGGGAGAAATAAGGGAGAAAAATGACCTAAGGACACCTGTGTGTGAGCTGAAATGCCACTGCCCCATCCACCAGCACACAGCACACAGAGTGAGCTGTGGGAACACATGGTGGTATCCAGGGCACGAGGAAATTTGCTGAAAATTTTCTGTGGTGGTGGCAGAGTCCCTGAAGAGATTTGGCCTAAAAAGGCACCCTGTGGGACACATCTGCTTGAAGCAGTTGAGTGGGTGGAAAAAAGACAAGGAAATGAGGCTGAGATTTCTCTGGAGGATTCTTGCCCAGGTAAGACACAAAAAAGCAGAGGGCCTGTGATATTTGTTAGCCACAACAGGAGAAGACACAGAGGTCAAATGGCCCAGCTCAGTATCAGCACGGGCTGCTTGAATGAAAAATATTCCAAATTTGCATCTGGCCCAGCAACTTCATAGCTCACAAATGGAACATTTAGATGAGGACTAGAGCTTGAGACAGACAGCTATGGACATGGAGAGAGAGGAGTGTTCACCTACCCACAGCCTCCCACGTCACCTCTGCTCCAGCTCTGCCACCACAGCTCCTGGAGACTCTACAGTGCACTCTGCTCTCACACAGTGTTCAGATCTCCCTGGCTCTGGCTGGGCCAAGGGAGAATGGAAGAGCCCCAGGACCTCAGCAGGGGCTGCCTCCCCATCAGCCGTGAGAGCTTCTCTTCTCTTCACACGAGTCCCACCCTCAGGCCTGCGGGAAGGTCAGCAGGGCAATGTTTTCACAGGGATTGTCTTCTGGGAGGAGAAATCCAGGGGCTGAGCCGAGGAGCTTGGAGGTAGTCAGGGGAGAGTAGTGTCCATCAAAGGAGGGGACAGGAGGCAAGCTGTGAGCCTGTTCTCTCCCATCCCTCCTGTGCCATGGACTGCCACCCTGATCCACAGACAGTTCTGGTTGTTGCCCAGAGTGATTTTGCCCAAGGCTGCAGGTGTCCTGGAGACTGTTATTTATTTAATTTATTCCCTCCCAGCTCAGTTTCCGTCAAACAAAGCCCCAGTAACCTCTGACTGATGGAGTCCTTCTCAGCACAGTCTCCATCAGATGGGGCAGGATAAAGCTCTGGAAATAGGACCAGCTCCAGGACAGCCTGGGAAGGAGAAAGGCCACCTGGACACCCCCCTGAGGCCCACCTGTGTGTCCCACTGGGGTAAGGACATGCTCCTCCTGCCTGCCCTGCACCAGACAATGCTGGTGCTGCACCAGAGCCTCCACAGGAGACTCAGACCCTCAATCATTGTTTGCTACAGGACTTGGCACAGTTGGGCTGGGAATGTCATTAAGGCCAGGAGGTGGGAGGTATTAGAGGGGAGAGAGGAGGGCACAGCAAGGTTTAGGATGCCTAATGAAGAGTTGTTTAGGAAAAGAGTCAGCGTGGGGACATGGGAGACGAAGAGAAGTGCAAGGGATGTGCTCACAGCCTGAAGTCAGACATCACCTCACCCCGAAGAAGGAGCGTGCCTGCCCTGACCCATGGGGTGTGTGTGCATGTGCTGGGGCCTCGAGGGCACGCTGGGGACAGTGTCCAGCACCCACAGCTCCAGCACCAGCTCTGGCTGGCCTTCAAACCCTCTGAGACCCTTTCCTGGCTGCAGAAGTGTGTTCTGGTGGGAGTCGGTTCTACAGAGCTTGGTAGGAACACAAATCAAAGGGGGGGAAAGAAAATGAAAAGAAAAATCAAACCCAAATCTAACAAAAAAAACAAAGCAAAGCCTAATCTGTCTGGAAAGCCAAAGGTAAAACCCTCTCAAATTCTGGACCCACGAGTCTATGTTTTAAAGATTTTACAAATATACAGTATCTAATTAGCATTATATCAGATATACAACATGCCCATTAATTATAATTATGCTGGATATATAATTTATATGCATGAAATGTAACTGTCTTCATGGTTAGGATTGGGACTCAGTGGAATTGGAATTTGGAAGGTTTTCTTGGGAGGCCATTGCAGGGAGAGAGAACCACGGAAAGTTACCGACCTGCTTTTCGGTAAACAGACACCCTCAGCCTTGTGCCTCTACTAAGGGCTGCAAAAAGATTTGCTACATATGGATTCTAGGCTGTGAATGGGAGGAGAAAATGCTCAGAAACAGGGGAACTGGGCCATGGAAAATGCTATAGGGAAAAGAACTTGTGGGGAGAATTCAGGCTCGGTGAGAGGCATGGCAGCCTCGGTGGGGTCGGGACCTGCCCCAGCACAGGTCAGCAATGTGGAGCTGAACGGGTTCTGCTGCTTCAGGTTCAGCAGTGGCGAGAAGCTGGAGGAAGAGAAACCCTCTTCCTCCTTCCTATTTACATGTTGGAGACACCAAGATACTAGAATGAGTGGAGAAAAGGGTCTAACAAGCGTTTCAGCATATTTGTGCTTATTGAACACGTCAACCCCACTACTTCCTACACTGAGAGAGCAGGCGATTTGTAGGCACTAGTATGTTTTTTTATCTTATGAGTATATTTAGTATAAACTAAAACTTTATTTCTCAGCCAGGCTATTCTTGTCCCTAGATCTGTCAGTCCCGAACGAAAGTCTGCCCTTGAATTTGCTCCAAGGATGACAGAGAACAGATGTGTGGTTGCTGACGGGTGTGGAGCAGCCTGGGGCTGGCCCCAGCAGCCAGGACTTCCCTACTTGCTACAGAAAGGCCAAACATGAGGGCCAAGAACAAGGCCCCTTCCTGCCAGGATTGGTGGGGGGGCTGTATTTCCTCCTCCCTGTCTCAGGCTGCTTCTCCTTGGAGCAACAGAAAAGTCCTGAATTCATGGAAACTATGGGGTAATGCAGGTGAGCCCTTGGAAGGAGCCATCGATTACTATGGCTTTCTTTGACAGAAACTGATGCACGCCAGGAAATTAACTCTGTCATCCCTCACTAGTGTCTGACTGCCGCTTCAGTTCTTCCTGCGTCACTGATGGAGGGGTGGCTTTAAAAACAACGTGGGTGGGACTGCCAGAGAAGTCTTTGCAGACACTGAGTTAGTAGAGGTTATCTTGGCCTATAAGGCCACTGCAGAACGGGGTGCTGTGGCCACCCCAGTCCTTAAGGAGTATCTACAATGCGCTGGGTCGTGTCAAACAGTCACCTCGGTTTTGCTGGCGGTGCGGTAGTGGTGGTGGTGCCCGGGGATGTAATGCAGCTGCTCCACCGTGTTGTGCCGGCGCGAGGCGAAAGCTTGGCGCTTGGCCGAGGTCGGGTTCATACCCAAGGTGTTGTACAAGTTATTTGAGGCACTGGGATGGGAGTGCATTTTTGACATCCTGTAGCGATCCAAGACCGGTGTTGACACAAAGACATCCGTGTGTGACAGTGCCCTGGACATGGACTGCTCGGGGTAGGCCGAGCGCTCCGGGGACAGCAGCGGGTCCTGCGAGTGCAGGCGCTCTGCCGACAGCAGCTGCTCGTCCGACAAGATCCGCTCGTAGGACATGCTAAACTCCTCGGGCATGATCCTCTCCGGGGACAGCACCCTGTCCTGGGACATGGCCCTGATGGGGCGGCGCGGCCTGTCCCGCTGGTTGCCCTGCTGGGACATTTTGATGACGTTGATGGGCAGCGTGCCCCGGGCCGCCAGGTCAGGCAGGTGTCTCCTCCTCATGTAGTACTCGTCAGCCTCTTTGTCAGCTGTGGGGAGGGAAATGAGAGGTTAGAAATGGCAGAGTGCTGGCCCAAGGCCTGGAACTGCCTCCTGGTGACGCCTGAGGGAACATCTGCCTCAGGCACGGACAGCCCTGTGTGGGTGGTGTCACTGAGGGCTTGTGGCACACAGAGGAGTGTGAAATGCGTGGGGACAGTGCAATTCCCTGGGCAGTGCACCCCACACTCCTCCATGTGGAAGCTAGGCCATGGTACCACACAATTCACATGAGTTATGGAGAAATTCCCAAATGTCACCTTCTCAAATTGTCACATTCTTCAAATGTCACCCTGGGAAAGAGCAGGGCAGGTGACACAAGCAGACATCAAAACAGAGATCCCCATTTGAGGACATGCCCATGTCACCTCTGGCCTTAGACATGGCTATTCCCTGGAGCCCATGAGTGACCTCATCACATTTTAATTACCTCATTTAAATATTTGTAAATGTGGTCACAAACCAGGTTTGCTGGTCTCTGAGACACTGAATCACCTGCCTAAGGTTTCATTTCCCATTTTTATAATTGACCTTGGTTGATATGAGAGAATTTATCCCATGGAGCATTTCTTGCTCAGTTTGCTGCTGCTGTATCTTAAGCAATCTCTCTGCTGCTCTGAAATGCAGCACACACCCCCCACACTCCCACTTTCCTTTTTTTGGCTTTGAGAGGAATGCTGTGGGCTCAGAGAGGATGTTGGCTACTGCAGCTGTATCGTGATAGATCACTGGGATCCTACAGCCATCAATCTGTGGGTTTTATTTACCACATTGCCTGGGAGTTAATTGGCTGCTGGTCCCATGAGGCAGAGCTCATGTGGTGGGTGCTGACAACATCCCAGAGCTCTGTTCACAAAACACCAGCTCAGCCAAAGCCTGCACCACTCCAGATCTCTGCTCACAAAACACCAGCTCAGCCAAAGCCTGCACCACCATGTGCTGGGCCTCACCTATTTCCTCATCCCCTGTCCCACACCTTCCCTTCCCCTCCCTGCTGCCAGGCCCCTGTGCAGAGCCCAGATCCCTGAGGAGGTGGGCTTGGTTCCCTCACACCCCGGAGTAGGAGCTGAGAACATCTGTGCCACCAGTGCTGCTGCCAAGCCCTTCCTCCCAGCCCACACAGCCCCGAGGCGTGAGGTCACCCCCAGCTCCCCTGTGCTGCCTTCCTGCCTGTGGGATCTGCTCTCCAGATCTCACACTGTAGCCATGGATCTTTATTTTTCACCACCCAACAGCCCTCAGAAGGATGTCTCACTGCAAATGTCAGGCAGCAGCTCTCCTGGCCTCGAGCTCTCCTGTCTTTAAAATCACCTTCTAGGAAGCCTGAGGAGGTGGGGGAATTCCATATGGCCGCAGGAGCTGGAGGCATTTTTATTCTGTGTTTTGGGGCTGGTTGGAAATGCCAGGCTGGGTGTGCAGAGGCAATGCTGAGGCTGCTGCAGAGTGGGAATGAGGCAATTAGCACCCTGGCACTTGGCCTCTGCTCTGGATGAGAGGAGTTCCACAGGATTTGCCCATGTGACTCTAAATAGATGTAATTAAAGCACAGAACATCCCAAATGGAGATGTGCTTGGATGCTCACACCTGGCTCTGGTAATTGCCAGCAGGAGCTAAACCAGCTTATGTGAGGTTTACAGCTCTGAGGCTGCTGGAGAGGTGGCACAATCAGCTGGAAGGGCTTTGAAGGTGTTCCTTGGACTGAAAATGCAGCATGGGCTACACTTTAAAATGTTTTGTCCATTAGGAGCATTAAAAAATACCTTTTCCTTCCCTCTCCCACCCAGTGACCATTGTACAGCTGCCATAGCTGAACCTTTCAGGGAGCTGATTTAATTTCAAAGGTGTTTCTGAGCTCACTCGGGCCATGCCTCCAGTGATGCTGAGGAGGAGGAAGAACACTTCCAGGTGTGGAAAAGCTGCTCATCTCCATCTCAGAGGAGTCAGAGGAGGAGGAACAGCCGTGTGTCACACCCAGCAAGCTGCTCCAGGCAGCAGCAGACAGACATTTTCCAGGCTGCTGGCTCTGAGAGGGGCGTCAGCCTGAGCCAGGGATGGGGAACAGAGCCTGGCAGGAATGCTGTTGGATTAGGTTCTTTTTTGACTTAGAGATGGGGTAACTGAGAGGAATTTTAAAAACTTTTATTTTATTTTTAGTCTCATGTGAAGGGTGAGACAATGCAGATTTTATAATTCAACCTATCACAATTAGAAGTTAAATATTTCTTAATTACAATACATTATAAGCCTTTCTTGGCCCACCATAATATACTGTAATTTTAAAGTAAATGCCTTAAAGCCAGTCCCCTAAAATTGCCCCTCATGGGTCCTACTTCAACTCATCTTTCACAGTTCTATTTCTTTGAAGTACCCAGTCTTATTTGCAAGGCCACCCTTTGAAACTTGCTTCTAGCTCCATTTCTACAAATGAATTTCTACAAATTCATTTCCCACGTTATGTGCAGCACCACACACATGCCTCGTGCCAAGGGAGAGCACTGGAACCTCAGAATTCTGCACCCAGGGACAGCAAGAAACAAACTCTGGGAGGGCAGAGCAGAGCTCCAGGAGCTGGGAAATGTGGAGGGCTGCCTGCACAGCTGGCGAAACCCAAAGTTTCTCTGGGAGACAAAATCTTGGAACCATAAAATGGTTTGGGTTAGAAGGAATCTAAAAGATGATCCAGCTGAAACCCCGTTCCATGTTTAGGGACACGTTCCAGGCTGATTGATGCCACCCTTTGAAACTTGCTTCTAGCTCCATTTCTACAAATTAATTTCTGAAAATTCATTTCCCACATTATGTGCAGCACCACAGAAGGGAGAGCTCAGCACAGCACTGGAACCTCAGAATTCTGCACCCAGGAACAGCAGAAGAACAAACCCAGCTGTAGGCATGGGAGAGCAGAGCTCCAGGAGCTGGGAAATGTGAAAGGTTGGGTCCACAGCTGGTAAAAACCAAAGTTTCTCTGGGAAACGAAATCTTGGAATCATAAAATGGTTTGGGTTGGAAGGAATCCTAAAGATGATCCAGCTGAAACCCATTCCAGGCTGATTGATGCCACCCTCATGCCACCAGCAGGGACACATCACACCCTGGCACAGCTGGCACTGATCACCCTGCCCTTGTCCTGTCATTGATGCTCACAGGAGAAGGAACATTCACAATTTTAACCAAAATAAAACTCCAGTCCAGTGTGCTTCTCCATCCAGGATGTGCTTAAAATTTATATAAAAAATTAATAAAAACAAATCAAAAAATAATGTCTTAAGAGGATTCCAAAAAAGCAGAAATTGTGAGCAGAGAAAAAGGAATCACTGGTGAATTGCTTGTCAGGATTTTTTTCTTTTTTTTAATCATACTTCTGGATCTTTCCTTGTGTTTTTCAGGCATTTGGAACTGGAATTACTGGAAGTTATGCTTTCTGCAAACTTCCTGGGCTTTTTTAATTGGTTTTGTTGGGATTTTTCTGCCCTTTCTTTCTTGCTTTGGCAGTTTCTAGAACATTACTCAGAGCTGGTCTTGGTCTCACCACACTTCAGGAATGTTTGAGTGCTTCAACTGCCTTGGCCTCAGGCTAAGCTGTTTTGCCCTCAAACAGTTTTTTGGTGGATTTTTTTGTGGTTTTTTTTTTCTCATTTGGAGGGAGATCCCCAAATAAATGCTCTTACACATTCCACCTCAATTCCAGATGCCTCTGCAGACAGGCAGAGCAGAGCTCCTCTGGCACTGGAATTACAGAAATGAGGTTTACAGAAATTCATTTGTGGTGCTCTGGGAAGAGAATGTGGAGCAGAACAGCCAAATTCAGTTTTTCTTCCTTCTTATATATCATGGTGAGAAGAGATGCACGTGTGTGTGCATGTGAGGCCATCACAATAATCCCTCTCCTTCTTTAAAGGTAATTTTCCCCAGCTTTCTTCCTCTGCAGCTCCAGCAGGTTTTCTCTCTGGGCTTGTCTCTCCTTGTTTTAATTGGCTTTAACATTTCCAAGCTGCCCAGTCACTCGTGATGATTCTCCAGCCAGCACCAAGTGGTTTAATATGCCTGAAAACAGGAGCTGCCTCCCTCCCTGACCTTTCTCACTTTGCTGGGAAGAGCAATTCCCTGGAGCCCTGGGCAGGATGGAATTAATCTGGCTGCTCTTGCTCAGCCCCATCCTCACACCCTCCCCTCGCTGCTCATTCCCAGGGCACAGGGGGTGCCAGACCCTCAGAGACCCCCAAAACCCCCAAGGATCCCCCAAATGGGGTTCTGTCCTCTTTGCCCTGAAGGAAGGGCAAGGGAGATAAAAAATCCTGGTCTTTCACCATCTGTCTCTGCTAATTGGAGGAAAACAAGTAATTTTTCCCTGCCTGGCAAGCCAGACAAACAAGAGTTCGAAATATTTGAAATACAGATTTAAAATATATCTATATATAGATATATATTTTTTAATCCATATTTCGAATTTATATATATAAAAACATATATAAATATATATATTTCAATCTATATTAAATATAGATTTATATATATATTTCATATATATGGGTTTATATATATTTATATATAAAAAATTGAAATAGAGATTTATATTTATATTCTATATATATTTCAAAGGTATATATAAAAATATGTATAGATATATATTTATATATATAAATATATCTATATTTCTATCTATATTAAATACATATAAATCTATATTTCAAAATTTTATATATATATAAATTTGATATATAAATTTAAAAATATCTAATGCTTTGTTTCTTGCTCAAATAGAAGTATTTGTTAATGATCTCTTCAGTTACTTTTATATTTTATTTTTTTCTAACTGTGACAGGAAGTTCATTGGGAAGAAACAATTTTAAATTTAAAAAATGAATGCCAAATAAGTAATTTTCAAACTCCAGCTTTTAGATATCACAGTTTTTTGTGTTGCCTTCATACAGAAGAAGAACATTATCTTGCTGGCACTTTGCAAGGGGAAGCTGGGGAGTTGGAGCCACTTTTCCCTTGGCTCTGGAGTAGAGCAGCTGCAGGAAGGTGATTCAGAGATTCTGGAGGTGCTGGGTGTGCTCAGTGCCAGTGGGAGCAGGGAGGGCTGGGCACTGCCAGGGCTGAAACTCCCTGGATGCTCAGGAACAGAGTGAGGCAGTGGGGTTGGATCTGCCAGGTGCTGGGCAGGAGGCTGGGCTGGCACACAGCAATAACCACAGGTACCCTCCCAGAAATGAAATTACCCCCACACCCATCCCTGCTGGGAGTGCCAGCCAAAGGAATCCCCACTGGAGATGCCAACCCAGGAGTGCCCAGCTGCGGGAAGGGGTTATTCCTTACGAACAGAACCAGGGGGAAGCAAAGGAGCTGACACTTACTGAGTCTCTTGAGAGATGAGTATTTATTGGGGTTGGTCTTGACAGCAGACTCGTAGGAGGGCGGGAGGTGGGAGAGGTTCTGGAAGGAGCGGGAGAAGGACAGGTCGTAGGGCTCGGTGGCTGAAGTCAGGATGTTGTTCATTCGTGGCTTGTCTGCAAAAAAAAAAACAGAGAAAGGCAGGTCTGGAGTGTGCCCCGAGGGGATGGAGAGAGGCTGGCTGTGCCCACAGGCTCCAGCAGGGAGCTGAGCTGGAGCTGAGCCTCAGCCACAGGGCATGATTCACACTGGCACCAGCAGATCCAGGAGAAATGGATCCTGTGCTGCTGCTTCCTGTCACACACAGCAGTGATGGGGACAGCAAAATGCTGCCTCACATCCCCTGGGGCTGCCCAGAGGGATGGGCTGGGCTGGCACCCACCCTGGGCATGCAGGGCTGTGCCAGGCAGCATCACTCACCTTCATCCCCCCAGTGTGCCCTCCTCATCCTCAGGGACACAGAACCAGCCTGGGGTTCCTTAACTGGGGCATCATGAACCAGTTCTTTAACTCTTTCACCAGCATCACTCACCTTCACCCCTCAGTGTGCCCTCCTCATCCTCAGGGACACAGAACCAGTCTGGGGGTTCCTTAACTGGGGCTAAGGATGGTCCAGCTGCCCTCTCTGTGTGCCAGAGTCCTCAGGGATGCTCGGAACCTGGAGGCTCTGGGGCTCTGCAAAGCCTCACACCTCCCTGCACCCAGGGCTGGGAGCTGAGCACCTCTGGGCACCTCTTGGGGCACTCAGAGGGCAGGACAAGGTGTTGGGGATGTTCCTGAGGCAGGAAATCCCTATCCTGAGGGGTGCAGGATGCCCATCTACTGATGCTTCTTTTGTTAGTCACTGAGGTTTCCAGGCAGGGTTCCAGTGCCCTCTGTCACCTTTCTCATGCTGAGGGCACTGAGTCCAGATGCTAAAATTGAAGTCCAGACTATCTGCAGGGGTTTGAAACCTTATTCCTTCACTACAAGCTGGAAAATTATCTTTGATCAGCCCAGCCAAGGCACAGGGACCTGTAGAACTGCAGTTACAACCCCGAGATGTTCAGATATTAAAATGGGCAGAGAGGAAAGGATTTAACAAGGCAGGAACTTGAATTTTTGGAAGCAGAGCCAGAACAGAGCAGTGGGCTCTGTCAGACCCCACAGCAGTGATGGGATCAGCAGCTGAGGCAAAAGGTGTTCACTTCAGGTATGCCCTGCAAATGAAATCAGAAGGGTGAATTCTCTGCAGGAGCAGCAGAATGCCCAAGCTTGGGTTCACACATTCCTCTTGTACATCCCTAAAGTGTCCCCATGAAGAGCAATGCATGATCAGGGTGCACTCACCTGCCCCAAGCCCTCTTGCCTCCTCTGCACCAGGGCCTGGTTGAGATAAAAGCTCAGATTCTGCCCAAAGGTTACAGAGCAGCAGGGGAATTTCACCTGGAAAACTGCTGGCTTTGTGAAGTGCCCAAACACTTGCTAACTTCTCCCATTTCCAGGAAAAAAACTCAAAATAAAATCCACCCAGGCAGAGGGCAGACATTTCCCAGACATTTTGCTAGACCTGACTCATATATAAGTGAATCTGCATAAGCAAGAAACATCTGTGAGAGCGAGGCCAGTCCTGCCCTGCTGCCTCTCTGCCATGTGCAGCCCTGCTTGTTGGACAGCAGAACCTTTTCCTCCTCCCTGAATTTTTCATTTCAGTGTGTCCTCGGTGCCCCTGCAGCCTGGAAACGAACCCAGCAGTTCAGGTGAGTGTCTGCTCGGGGATCCAGAGCTGCTGCCACAACTTTTCTCCCACTGGGGCTTCCCCTGGATGTTCCAAACCTCCTGTCAGCCACCCTCAGCACTGCAGTGTCACAGACAGGCTGAGGCAGTCCTGCAATTACAGAATCACTCTCACAGTAATTCTGTAAGAAAGAAAGTAATTCAGTGGTGAAAAATTCCTCCTCCCAATGCAATAACCATAAATCTCATAAATCTCCTCTCCCCTTTCTCCTGCTCCTCTCTGCTCTCCAGGAAGGGGGTTCTGGTGTGGCACAGACCCAAGGGATCTGGAGTGGATCCTCTTAGAGACCAGTATTTCCTTGCTGATGATTTCCATCTATTCTATTTGTGGGGTGCCCTGATGAAGGAAGGAATGTTGCATCGGACTCCATGTTCTCAGAAGGTTAATTCATTATTTTATTATTCTATATTATATTAAAGAATGCTATACTAAACTATACTAAAGAATACAGAAAGGATACTTACAGAAGGATAAAAAGATAATAATGAAAACTCATGATTCTCTCCAACACAGCTGGGCCCTGATTGGCCAATAAGTCAAAAATATTCACATGAAACCAATCAAATAATCTCCTGTTGGTAAAAAATCTCCAAACGCATTCCACATGAGCACAACACAGGAGAAGCAGATGAGATAATTATTGTTTTCAACATTCAATTTTTATATTTTTCTCTGAGGCTTCTCAGCTTCCCAGGAGAGAAATCCTGGGTGAAGGGATTTTTACAGAAAATATGAATGTGACATCCATCCATGTCTAACAGCCTGCTTGCAGGATCAGGGAGCATGTGGCATTCATCAGGGGGCTGGAAACAATTGATTTGATGTTATCCAGCAAACAGAGGCTGGATCAGCACTGAAACCATGTCCCCACTCCTCCTCCTGCTCGTGTGGCAAGGACCCCGGGCTGAGATCTCTTTGCAAATTGCTCAGGCAGAACGTGGAGCTAATCTCCATTTCCATGGGGGTTTGGGCATGCTGCAGTGAGCCCAGGCACAGGCACGGAGCTGTGCTGGGTGCCAGAGCTCAGCATTAATTGACTGCTTGCATGAGGTGTGTGAAATTAAGTGCCACACATTTATCTGATGGGCTGCTGCAGGATCACTTCATCTTCTCACTGCCTTTCCCATCCAGGCACACAGGAACAGGCTGGAATGATTCTGGCAAATGAGAAGTCACCTTGAAATCCACTGCCCATCACTCAGCCAAACAAGGGATAAACTGAAATGACCAAAGCTAATTTCAGATGTCTTTTGCATAATGTAGCTTGAGGGGGAGATCAGAGAACTGAGGTGCTCCAGTAAGGAGAAATATCTCGTGCAATTTATATTCTGAGGCCAGTTCAGCACCAGTTTCTCAGCAGGTTTTCACTCCTGCAATAATATATTTGTTTCTGGTCTCTCTCCTCTTTGTTTGTGGTGCTTGTGGGCTCCTATGGAAGCTGCAGGTCAGAATCAATAATCAGGATGCAAATCAAAGCTCTGCCATTCCCTGCAGAGCAGCTGAGGCTGTGCACTGTGCTCCCCAGCATCCCCATCACCCCAGCTGGAGATTACACTGGAAAATGAGCTCTGTGCATGGCTACTGGGGTTACCTTTAAAGTCAGGATTGGTACTCATTCTCCTCAGCATCTCTGTGCCATTTGGTGCCCATTTTCTGGCACACCATCCCTCCTGGCACAGGAGCTGGCAGAGGAGCAGGCAGGAGGTGAAACTCATCCTTCATTATTCCTGTATATAAAAAGGTCAATCTGAACAACACAGTGATTCTTCCTACGTCTCCTTCTGCCCTTACATTCTGCAAGAATTACCATTTTGTTTTTGTAGTCAAGCTCCCAAAACCTCCCTGCACTGAGGATTTCTTTGTGCCTTATGGACATAATAGTGGAATCACAAAGTATATTTTTTAAAATGTGTTTGGCAATCTTTTTTATATAGTGATTTCAGGAGCAACAAACAGAGCACAGGAACCTCCCCCAGCCTGGGGACAGCCCCGGCTTGGTACAGCCAGTGCAGGGCTGTACAATTCTGATGTACAATTCTGCACAAGGCTGTACAATTCTGATGTACAATTCTGCAGGAATTTCAGCATTTCCCCACCCTGTAGGCAGCCCTGGTTGCACAGGGATGCACAGCCCAGCCCAGAGTTCCCCAGGCTGCTCCACATTGGCACAAGGAGCTCAGGAAGTGAGCAGGGAGCTCTGGGGAGCTCTGAATTCTCCTCCTGCAGCCCCACCAAGCCAGGTGGGTGCATTTCCCCTGCTCACACCTTGCACTGGGCAGGGGAAGGGGCTGCCTGTGCTCCTACCACACCTGATGATGCTTTAGGATTTCAGCTTTTATATTTTTCAAATCCTCTAGTGCATTAGTGTATAACTGTGAACTCCATATAAAGTGTAGTTAACTGCCTTCACATCTTGGTCAGACAGAACAATCCCTCTGGGCCTGAGATCCAAGGACACACCACAGCCTCACACCTAGAAAATTATAAACAAAAGTGAACTGTGGGGAGAAAACTGGGGAATATGACTTCATTAGCTGAAGCTGTATTTGGACAATTAACTCCTGTTATGCAAATAGACCAAAATTACATAAAACTCATGACCATCATCCATCCTGGGTGCAGCCTCTGTGAGGCTTTGGCTGCCCAAGGTGTTTGTCTATGCAAGGCCTTTATTAAACACCCACTTTATCCTCTTGATCTTGCCCAGCCTCTGTTGTAGGCAGCCACCCCAATGTGGTCCAAACAGGACCATGGCTTTGGTGGCAGCACCTGGGTGTCACCTGCAGCCCTGCTGGGCCTGGGGGTGGCACTGAAGGTGGATTCACACAAATTCCCTGCTCTGCTCACTCCTGTGCTCTGTCACCTACCAGGGAAGCACAGCCCCTCTGGGCTGAGGCATAGCTCATTTCTCTGCCAGTGCTTTGCAACCTCTCTACAAGCTCAGGGCTCAGAGAAGCTCCAAGATTTCCAGATTAGACCTGAAGTCTTCTTGTCACATCTTGCTCTGCCCCTCTTGTTGGAACACACTTTCAAAGTGTGTTTACATGAGGCACAAAACCTTTCATGTTCAAGGACGGGAGCAGATGATACCAAAATTAAAAAAAAAAAAAAAAATGTGAGTTGATGGCAAAGTTTTGAACAAAGCTCAAGTGGCAAAAGGGATGTGCTGCAGATTTGCATTTGAGTCTGCACATATGTTGTGTGAATTCTGCAAGACATTCCAACAGATGCCTTTTAAAACATTCACCCAGGGAAAGCAAACAATGTCACCTAGGAGAGGCTGCTCCAAGCCAGCCTTCTGCTGCTCAGCTGCAGCTCAGCAGAGCCCCAGCCCTGTGT